AGGAATGCCTGGAAGAGCAGAAACTGCCTAATGAACTCCATGAAGAAAGGAGAAAAATGTCCTTACAGGCCAAGTACTTATATTTTGGCAGAAGTGGCAGTTGGGACCCCCGGCATGGTGGTATTCTGACTATTCCACTTCTAGAGGCAGGAGAGCTCAGATGAATTCTGCCCAGGAGTTGTCTTTGCCATTTTTATGTTGGGCTCACAGATAAGCTGTGATGGATGGGTGTTCACATCCGACAGCCCTCCTGCTCCACGTCCCCGTTTGCTGGGATCTGTTTTTTTTTTCTTTTAAGCACTGACTACACATGAGAGAGAAACACAGGGAAGAATATGAAGTGGCAGATTTTGGATTCAGACTTTGCAAAGCTTGGAACTGGCTCTGAGGAGGAAATGGCAGTGGTGTAAGTTAACCCTGGGAATCAGCTTGCTGGCATTCACAACGCGTTTCTGCTACATTTGATCAGTCTCATTTGTCTTCACCGCTGGCTAGAGAGTAAATAGCATCTTCCAGAACACAGTGTGATGAATTTGGCTGTACATTGCTGTTCCTATTAAGAGTTTGAGTCTCAAACTTCTCCTTTTCAGAACTTTATCAGATTTGCAAGATTCATTACTAAGCCACAGTATGTCCTCAGGCTGGAAAGTTAATCACTAATAGCAGTTCATATGCAGTGCAAATGTCTCTGGGACCTCTACACACCTTAAACCCCTTTTTTTTTTTTTAAATTTTGTTTGGCATTGCTCACCAGTCAAACGCCTTGTTAAGAATTAAAGCTTTAAAAATAACAGATCTAGAATTTTTAGAAAGGATTACGTCCTTACTATGGAACTAGAAAACAGTAAAAAAAAAATCATACAGCGAAAATGTAATAAATACTATTGCATTTGGGGTAACTTCTGTTTACTCCAATTACACCTGGCATCCTACTGCTGCCCAGCTGCCCTGTGTTTTAGTTCAATAATTCTATGTTTCACCCTGCTTCCTGCCCTGTGCCTGACCCTGTATGGCCAACATGTCCTTTGCGACCGTGAATACCCTTAAAATGAACGTGTGCTTAAGCATTTGCTGAACTGAGGTACTGATGACTTTGCCAAAGGTCATCTGTTACAGATAAATAATTAATGACGGACAGATGGACATGTCACAGTTGACAGCTAAAATATCAGATCCAAACAAAAAAATGCCCCTCTGTGTTGTAAGAGAGTCAATGCGTACACTTGGCAGTGTAAGGACTGGGAAAAGTGCTTGCAGTTTTCCACTGGAAATAGTAGACAGGTAAATGTGAAGGGTATACACATGTATACAGGGATACGTACATATGCACCTCATATGTCTTCTCCTTGGGAGACACTGCTCAAAGGGCAACATGAAGAAGCTAGGTAAAGTCCAAAGGTATTTAATGGAAAGTGATACTGCTCTTTTGGATTTCAGTAGCTCTCTGTAGACTGTTACATCTATTCAGTACATAATTATACCTATTCAGTGCAGTTACATTAGTAGTTAAAAATGAATAGTCTATAGAAACAAGTCTTTTTGTAAACCTTTAGGAGAATTTCTACATTCTTGTATAATTTCTATATCCTATTATTTACATTGGTGTTAGGTCACTTGGGTGAGCTCCAATAAAAAGAAGTGCTTTTTTGAAGGCTGATCCAAACCATTATATCTAATCTAGTCTGCAATTCCTGTCCCTTGGACTGCCTTTGAGTCCATGAGGCAATATCGTCACCCTCAGATCTTCTTGTTGTTCAGTACTGTAGAAACACTGTGGATGGCTTTTCAATGTTTATCATCTTGGTTCACTCTTTCTTCCCTTTCCTGAGAACTGTGGCCTTTTTTCTGGGACACCATGAGCCACATTGCATGGAAAGACCATGACCAGGCACACGTGTGCTGGGATGCAGAAGATGAGCTGGCCGGGAGCCTGCAGTGAGTCAGCTGCCGCTGACCAACCCGCTGGCAGTGGCCGTGTTCAGTACAGGTCTTCTAATGGGTGGTTCCCTAGCCTGCAGTTACACAGATGAGGATATCTGCGTACTGCTTAGGCAGCAGAGTTAAAAGGTCAAAAAGTTGAGAAACTAGGTACCTTGCAAGGGATTTGGTCTGTCTGCACGGCTGGAACATTTATTTCCATATGGGTTCCTAAATGGACAGCCTAAGGGTATACTCCTATTTGCTAAAAAAGACTCATTATTATACATCCCTAGCAATTTCAGTTGTCCAATATCCGACAAACAAGGAATGGAAAGGCCAAGTCCCTCCAATTGAATAGCTCAGACACAGAGCAACTGGGACCTCAGCTGAGTTAATGATGAAAGAGGACAGGAATGATCACTCCAGCTCACCAAAGGATACTTTGCTTTCAGCTGGATTTTGCTGCCCCCACAGAGCAGACAATCTTCAGCTCTCAGCTACTACTTTCCAGGTTAAAACCAAACAAACACCGGGGGAGAATGGTTACTGTTTAACTTTGATCAGTGATATGGAGCAACCATTCAGCACAGCAGAAGCTACAGGTGTGCAAGAGGAACGAGCAGTTGGTGGAGGAGGGGATGCTCTGCAAGCCAGCCAGTGCCCCTCTGAAGGTAACATTCAGTGGAAAGCTACGTCCAGCGACACTTCAGCCTTTTCATTTCTAAGCTTATGCAAACTGTCATGGCCTAAGAAAAGAGAATTCATTTCTAAGAGTAGTTAGTAAACCACTCATAATTCTTGTCTGTATTTCAGAACTGTATTAAAGAGCCATCCTACAGCATATGGAGTGCTTAGATGTAAAGATGCACTATTAAGATGGTAGCAATTTTTGATATACTAACCTGGCCAGTAGTACATGGAAACATTCTTTTTTTCTTTCATCATTGTGACCCACAAAGGCTCCGATCCATTCCACCAGAGAGGCAGCAGGCTTTCTTTATTCACACCAATATCGAAAGATACATTTGTCTTTTGGTCCCACATGTAGTTTCCAATCATCTGATGGACCTCACAGTGGCGACCTTCAGGGGTGGAGAAAAAAAAACAGCACAATCAGGTTGGTGTTCTCCAGCAGAAGGATGCCACCAGCACCACCACTGCTACGACTGGATCATCCTGCAAATCAGCTGGAAAGCCCTGATTTCAACTCAGGGACCTCTTACCTTGCAAGCACTCATATGATCTTTTTGACTCTGCTACCTTTTATTGAGGTCCTCTAGGTAGCTCTTTATATCCCCCAGTTCAGCCACCTAAAAGTTAGTTGCTGAAGCTTGTCAGCCACCGCTGTGCCCTTCACAGTCAATGGAGAAGAAGAGGCACCTCTGGAAAGCAATTCATGCCATCCCAAGACAGGCATCTAAGGTATCCGTGAGGAGTTATCCTCTGGAGGTGCATATTGCTCTCTGCTAATTGTAGAGAAAGATCACATTATTCACTTAGCTTCAGACAGACAACTTTTAGACAGCTGAGGCCAGAAGAAACAAATCCCACACCCCATGGCCTGCCCAACACACCGTACCCAGTCCACACACATAAACCATAGCAGCAGCAGCCCACGCGGGTGCCACGTGTTTGGCTGGCACCTGGCTCCTTCTACACACGCAGCACCTGCCAAGGCTGATGTCATTTTAAGGTACCCACCAGCGCACAGACCCGGGGGCTGCGGGGATCAGGCTGTGAATGGGAAGGGATAACAGCACGACCTAGAAACATAGGATAACATTTGGGAAACTTGCATTTCCCTCCTCCTTTATCCATAGGGCACATTGTTTTTCCACAAACAAGCAAAAACTAGGCTAAAACATTTATATATTACTTTTATTTTCCATTATTGTTAGCTTTTTTTTTTTTTTAACTGAACAAGCTTTGTTCTTAGTTGTGGGGACAGCAGTAATTTTATCAGACATTTTTGACCCTCTTGGGGCATCTTGGGGGCCCTTGGGCAATTTTATATTACAAGAAACTAGTATATAATAGCCTAGAGATGTCTTCTGCTTCTTCTAATTTTCAGAAGAGGAGATACTGGATTTTAAAAGTTAGTCTGCAGGTGAATTTACAAAAAAGGGAAAATAAATGTTGAAGATTAATTTGTACTGGGAGTTCATGATTTCCATATCTTAAAAAGCAACAACTGATGCATGTGTGAGATGCTGTCATCATTAGCTGGTGAGTCATGATATTGCAAGGATACAGATTAACAGGCTTTGATTATGGTGAGCCTGATGATCAGAGCTGAAATAACCTTGGTATGCTTGTTTTGAAAAGGCATCATTCTGAGCAGAGGACTCTGTATACTTTGGGTACACATGACCTTGAAATGGATTTTGAACTCTCTTTCCCGACTATGAAGCATTTCAATTATGCAAAACATTTCCTCCTCCCCATTAGAGAGAAGCAGTCCCAGTTTGAGGCAGTCACCATCTACCATATTAAACCAAACAGGTTTAATCCAGGAGAACTGGTGGATTGGATGGGCAGTAATCTGTCCTCTTTAGGCCGCCAAGTACTTTCTTTGCTGCAAGTCTCAAAAGAGCTAGAAGGAAGCCTCTGTGGTGCACCAAAAATGCAGCCTTCCTACTTAGAGGAGAACCCCATCTCTTCAGCTTCTTTAAGTCCACATACTCGTGAGCATATATCAACCTGCTAAATTCCACGCAGGCAACTGCTGCCGGTCTGGGAAACCGGCAGGTGAGTGCTGAAACTGTTAGGTCACGTATTTGTATGATGTATAGTATAGTCTTCATATAGAAACAATGAGCTCTAGCTGCTGCTGATGTGAGCTCCCTATAGGATTTGTCTGCTGTCAGTTTGCCCACCTCTTTAAGGAACAGAATGGAGATTGTTCTTTGCAGTGTTGTTGGGAAGTTTAATTAACTGTGTGCACTAATACAGAGGACAGTATTCTTCTGATCTCCACATCAGACAAGTTCATTCTTCTATGGACTCCAATTCTTTTTTTTTTTTTATTGAAAAAAGAGGCCTAGAAGACTATAAGACACCAGTTTTCATTGCAGATGTCCCTGGTTCACAGGGCCAGAAGGGAAGATCAGATGAGCAAACAGACCGAAGACACAACCATTTAATGCTGCCTGAAGCCACTTGCATCTGCTTGCCTGAAGCCCGTGTCCCAGAAAGACCCCAGACCTCCTTGGAAGACATCAGTAACCAACTAATCAATCTCTTCCTTGGGTTGCTCATCCCAATATTCCTCACCAGTAAACACTGTTCAAAAAGTATGCCTGGTCTCTAATTTTATTTTTGACCTTTGTTAATCTTCAACCATGGCTATTCTGTGCCTTGCTCACTAGATTAAAAAGCCCTACACTAGCTGGCATTTCTGCACCCCAAAAGACACTCATATACAGAATTAAGGTCACTTCTCAAATTTGTTTTGGTCACCTGTACAACCCCAGTTCTTTACATCCCCTGTTGTAACTTATTTTCTCCAGCCCGAGAAAATGACCTTTGGTGATCTCCTTTTTAATGATTATCAAAATAGTAACACAGTGTTAGTCACCATAATAGTCTGAATTTAATATTCCTTCCATTATTGCAGCTTTCTTCCATAATCAAACATTATCTTAAGAGTTTCAAAAGTAGAAACAGGGCAAAAAGCAATTTCAGCATACAGATGTCATTATTTAAACTCACTGCAATTGTAGTAAAAAGCCCCCCTTCCTCAAGCAATAGAGGAAAACAAAGAGGGTATAGTTCCCAGGAATATGATAACTGCTATATCCTTCTGGAAGAGAGCCAGCAAAAGCATTTGCAAGTCTGCGTGCTACAGCTTACTTGGACACTGCACGTCTTACAACATTGTCTTTGTCTAAAGCACGTTCTCATGTCTCCAGGCACTTCTGTCAGCATTCAGATGAATCTATGCAAAACAAAGATGAAATTTAAAAAGCCCAACAAAACACAAACCCACTTGGCCACCCACAGCAAGAGCACAGTAACACTAAGTGCTGTGCACCCTATATTGACTGTGTATGAGATCTGGAAACCACAGCGTGTGCTCCTGTAGCATTTGCTACAGGAACAACCTCTTCTTTCTTTGTTGGTCTTTCACTGACTGCAGGGACAGCGTGTGAGATCACCAGCAGGCATGATGTATCATATGGGGACCACTTGTGTCTAAATCCAGAAGAGAAAGTGCTCTTCTGAGACAATTGCCTTCTTTTTAAGAGAGCCAGCATGTGGCAGATGTACATATATAGAGATGCTATACCTGGTGCACAAAACAGGGGCAAACTATCGCTGCACTGAGCAAGTCAGATTTGTCAGAAAACCCACAGTGTGTATATTAGCCAATGCAGCAAAGGTACCACAGTGTGTACCCACGTGGTATCCACCCGTGATGAACATAAGTACATGCATTTAGCTAAATGTACTGTATTATGTAATATTATATGCATGCCTTGCTGCTACGGTGAGACTTTTCTTCCCATGTCCCACTGTGATGTCCCCACTGCCTGGGAAGTGACAAGACCCAGGAGGGCAGATGCAAGCACAGGCTGCCGTAGGGCTATATAGGCTGGGGAAGAGTTAAGTTCCTCCATGCAAACAGCTGCACACGGGTAAGGTAAGTAGGTTTTAACAGCCCAAGTGAGACATGCAGTTCCCTGTCTCTTCCTTCCCTCCCCACAACGTCTTTCCTCTGCTATTCCCTTGCTTGAGGAGTCACCTCAATGCTGACCCAGACATGCTCATTTATCACCTCCTCACTCCGCTTCCAGCCCCCCTGGAGACTTGCTGGGTGACTTGCCCTGGGAAATGCCCTGCTCATGCTGCCAGCCAGGAGGAGGAAGAGAGCAGGACTTTACAGTCACCAGCCCTGTACTCATGCTCCGGAGCAGGTATCGTGGTGTTGCCATCCCCAAGGATTGAACCCAGCCTGCTGTGAGCATCCTGACAGGCCCAGCTCTGTCCACTTCGATACATGCCCTGCTCTGCTCTTCCCCTGCTGGGTCTCATCAGCCCTGCTTTGAAAAGAAAGACCTCAAGGAAAAAAACAAAATCTTAAGTGGCCTGGAGAAGACCAGGGCTCATGAGAAGTCAGGGTGGGGGAGCTCTGGTCTGGGCAAAGTGGCCCTGCCATCTGCAGGCCCTCAAGCAAAAACAGTACCTGCAAGATGTGCACAGACCATTTATGGTCCCAGAAGAGCTGGCTGGCAAACTCTTTCCAATTTTTTATGACCTCCAATACCAGATAGATCCAAAGCAGAAACACCTTAGCCTACATCAGGCAAGACTTTGCAATCCAAATAGGATCACATCAAAAGGCACAGAAAAATCTCTGCTATACACAGCATTATTTTTTTCCTGAAGGGGATTCATTTAGTAATTAATTTAATAACTCTTAATTCAATGCTTTCATAATGGGGCCAGGGCTGGGGTGCACAAAAATTGCTTCCAAAGCATCCAACTTAGGCTTTGCAGATGCTTGCTTGTGCGGGGAGGCAGGTCTTGTGTCCCTGGCAAGCAGATGCTCCACGCTGGTGGTCGGTCTCCTGAACTGAGTGTCAGGAGTGGGCTGAGGGACCATGCTGGGACCCCTGCCTGCCCACAGCTGGCTACAGCTCAAGGGCACCGCAGCTCCAAGCACTACTGAGGGCCAGATCAAAACGATGTGCAAAGCTGCTCCCTGTACCATTAGAGAGGGTACAAGCCTCTGACAGTTTTCTGTTCATCAGCTGTGACTTTAGCTCTGGGCAAAGAAACACCTTGATACGCAACTGTCCACTTACTGCTGCTACTAGCCGGTAGCACATATACAAGTTGTGAGCTGTGAGGCTGTAGCTAGTAAGAAGCAAAAAACTCCATGCTTCAATTTGTAGCATATGAACTCATGTTAGAGAAAACTTTCTATTCTCCATTTTGAAAGTGTTTCCATTTTTTTAAGCTGATAGAAAGCAAACACAGATTTTTTAAAAAAAAACATTTTCTGTATGTGTGAAAAAGGAAAATCTTGGCACTTGGCATTCCAGCCTTTCTGCAGGCGCTGAGTAAACAAAGTGAAATG